AGAAGTCTGATTAACAAAGTCCAATTGGAATATTGTGCCCAGTTTTGGGCCCCTCACTTTGAGAGAGATATTGAGCTCCTGGAGCGAGTTCAAAGAAGGGCGACTAAACTGGTCAAGGGGCTGGAAAATAAAACTTATGAGGAGCGGCTGAGGGAGTTGGGGCTGTTTAGCCTGGAGAAGAGGAGGCTGAGGGGAGCCCTGATTACGGCCTATAAATACTTGAGAAAAGATGGTGGGGAGGTAGGGGAAGGACTCTTTACATTAGTGATGGGTGATAGAACAAGAGAAAATGGACATAAGCTTAGTCAGGGGAGATTCAGGTTGGATGTTAGGAAGTATTTCTTCTCTGAAAGGGTTGTCAGCCACTGGAATAGGCTGCCCAGGGAGGTGGTTGAGTCCCCATCCCTGGATGTGTTTAAGAATAGGGTGGATGATCTACTTGAGAATATGGTTTAATGGGGATTAGGGATGGTTGGACTCGATGATCTCTAAGGTCTTTTCCAACCTAGAAATCTACGAATCTATGAATCTTTATGTCCTTGGCTTAATATAATTTATACTTCTATGTGCTAAGGGTTATAATTCTCCTCTGTTGGCAGTGATTCTGACAATTCTACATAGGACTTAATCAAGAAATACTTTAGAAGAATCCAGTTTTGTTTTCTTATCTCAAGAAGTTATAATAATATTGAAAGATATTCTAAAAAGACAAATACCTGAGCAGCGACCCGAGTTTTTCTGTTTGTTTTGGAGTTTTTACAGGATCAAGCAGTAACTAGGCATTGACGTCTGCAGAAAATAAAATTACTGTGGGCAATTGAGTGCTGAAATAATTTTTTCAGTTACTCAGGAAGCTTACCATCAGTGATAGTAGACAGTACTATCCATGCAGTGTGGAAGGTGTGTACTAAACAGTACCATCAGTCAGGGTAGACAGTGTGTTGTGATAAATTTTTTGTAACAGAAGAACAAATACTTGGAAATGTGCATATGACAGGTAAGCTTCACTTTTTTGTTTAAATGGCAAGAAAAAACAAAGATCTATTGATGGACATACTCAGCTGCTGTCATCAGAAACTTAAATTATTATTTCCATTCAGAAATGAACTTATACTTCTACAGATTTTTGTTTCCTGCCGTAATGAATACTTAGACTCTGTTGGATATTTCCTTCCACGCTCTGATAACATGACCAGGATATTCCCCAATGATTGATGAATGCTAATAACTGTCTTTACTGTGGTTTGGACTCATGACATGTACAATTAGATTTAAGAGAAAATCTGTTCTGACATTTTTGAACAGTAGATTATTTTGTACAAATCTGGCATAGGTTATCTAGTTGATTTGAACACTTGTGCATGCTTTTAATGAGTTTATCTCTTGATACACTGATGTTCTGGACTGGTAGTTCTACCTTTCTCCACTTGCTGATGTTTGCAAGCTATATTATGTGCTGTATTTGTTACAAAATTCTCAATCTGTGCTGTTACTACAGAAGTTAAGTTATGAGTTGTATTACTATAGCTTTAAGTTATGAGTTGTATTGCTGGAGGTGAAAAATATTTTCTAGCTGAAGAATTTAAAGCCAAAAATTATTCTTTTATTACTTTTATTATCAATATTGAATAAGATTTGTTGTGGGCTTCACAGTTTTGGGTTTTTTACTTGTTTGTAAATAGTTGGGCAGTTAAGGTCCATCAAGAAACCCTTCTATTCAGCCAGTTACCCACAGAATTTAACACTTTCTTCGAATCACAATCTGCACATTTATTAGGGTACCAAATGTATATATAAACCCATATCAGTATTATGTACATTATAGACATGTTTTGAACTCATGAACTCATTCATTTTGAAAAAAATAATCCTTTTGTCTGCTGTAACATCAGCAACTGCAAGGACCTGCGCATTTCAGTATAATACTAATGAAAAAAGGGTGGTTTATAGGTTTGGTTTTTATACTGTTTTGTAAAAGTTAAGAAAGTTTGTTTCTGACTAACTGAGAAGTTACTCAGTCAGAAATTCGGACTGAGAAGGAAATTGTCTTATGGTCATATACAAGATTGTTGTTTGATTTGCATAGGCTAGAAATATTTAAGACAGCAGGATATACATAGACTCATAGAATGGTTTGGGTTGGAAGGGACCTTTTAAAGGTCATCTAATCTAACCCCCTTGCAATAAGAAGGGACATCTTCAACTAGATGAGGTTGTTCATAGCCCTGTACAAACTGACTTGGAACGTTCTCCAGGAATGGGGCATCTACCACCTCTCTGGGCAACCTGTTCCAGTGTTTCACCACCCTCATCCCAAAAAAATGTCTTCCGTATATCTAGTCTGAATCTACCCTCTTTTAGTTTAAAACCATTACCCCTTGTCCTGTCACTAAAGGCCCTATTAAAAGTCTGTCCCCATCTTTCTTCTATACCCCCCTGAGGTACTGAAAGGCTGCAGGAAGGTCTCCCCAGAGCCTTCTCTTCTGCAGGCTGAACAACCCCAACTCTCTCACCTTTCCTTCGTAGGAGAGGTGTTCCATCCTTCTGATCAGTGCTCCTTCCAGAGCACTCCTCTGGACCCGCTCCAACAGGCCCATATCTTTCCTGTGCTGAGGACTCCATAACTGGATGCAGTACCCCAGGTGGGGTCTTATGAGAGCAGAGTAGAGGGGCAGAATCACCTCCCTCGACCTACTGGCCACGCTTCTTTTGATGCAGCCCAGGATACAGTTGGCTTTCTGGGCTGCCAGTGCACATTGCTGGCTCATGTTGAGCTTCTCATCCCCTCTCCTGCCACCAGAACCCCTTTACACAAACCCAGCACAGGCCCCAAGTCCTTCTCGTCAGAGCTGCCCTCAATCCCTTCATCCCCTAGCCTGTATTGATACTGAAGGCATTGCCCCAGCCCATGTGCAGGAAATTGCACTTGTCCTTGATCTTCATGTGGTTCACATGGGCCCACTTCTTAAGCTTGCTCAGGTCCGTCTCGATGGAATCCCATCGCTTAGGTGTGTCAAATGCACCACGAAGCTTGGCATTTTCTGTAAATTTGCTGAGAGTGCACTTTATCCCGCTGTGTCACTGATGAAGATATTAAACAGTATTGTCCCAGTACAGACCCCTGAGGATCACCACTCATCACTGATCTCCATCCGGACATTGAGCCATTGACCACTACCCTCTGGATGTGACCATCCAGCCAATTCCTTATATACCAAACAGTCCATACATCACATTCATATCTTTGCAGTGTAGAGAGAGGGATGTTGTGGGGGACCGTGTCAGAGGCCTTACAGAAGTCCAGATAGATGACATCTGTAGCTCTTGTCCACTGATGTAGTCACTCCATCATAGAAGGCCACCAGGTTGGTCAGGCAGGACTTAGCGTAGTCACTCCATCATAGAAGGCCACCAGGTCAGTCAGGCAGGACTTACCCTTGGTGAACCCATGCTGGCTGTCTGCTATCACCTCTCTGTCCTACATGTGCCTTAGTGCCTTACATACATATAGGAAATATAAATATGTCTTATTAAATATCCTCTTGGGAAAAATACATTCTGTTTTTAACTTTCATACAGTTTAGATTTTGCAGATCTGATACATAGTCTCCAGCACTAGTTTTCAGATGATTATTTTGTATGTAATGATTTTTTGTGCATCTTAAAAGTGCTTCACAGGAAAACTAATATTACCGTATTCTGTAGATGGGCTTTATGCAGTAGGTGACGTGTTTGTTCTCAAGCTTGTTGGCTGATAGAAACTTAGTTGAGTCTCAGAGAACATGATTCTTCAGCGCTGGGGCTCAGAGGTGTTTGGGAACAACCTCTGTAAGTTCTTTCCTAGTTTGAGCATACTTGCTGCGCTTTCTCTATGTGAACGCTTTATCCCTGAAAACAGTTACACCAAATACTTTTACAAAGAGATAAGTTATTTTTATTTCTTTGATGATTCCCATACCTTTTTACTGTTATCTGCTTCATATTTCTATTTTTAATTTTTTGCCTTTTGTCCCTTGTTCACCTCAGAAGTCACTATTTTGGTATTTAGTGCTGGTGAGATCACTAACAGTGACTTTTATAGGTTTAACCTATAAAAAATCAATCAGCCTGTTTTCAAACCAATATTATTATTCTCTTAATCTTTTTTAGACTTTAGAGCCACAGTCTAATTTGTCTCAGTTTATAATTAGTTAAAAAATTGTTAATGTTCTGCAGTCATCAAAACTGGCTTCAGCATGTTTTATATGTGGATGTGCAGATTTTCAGGTGATAATTACCACTGTGCCATATTCTGTTTTATAATTATCTTTTTACTTCTGTCAGGTTTCAGGAGGAGAAGATGAAATTCAGCAGCTGCAAAAGGCTTTGCTAGATTATCTGGATGAGAACACAGAAACGGATGCATCATTAGTGGTAAATTTCAGCTTTTTGGTGTCAAGTGTATATAAAATTAATTTCAGTATCATGTACTGACCAAAATGATTTTTGGTTATACATATTAGTGCTTCAGTTAAATTGTGACCCTAACATATACTGTTGATTGTGTTTTCCAAAATATTGTTGATGCCTTAGATTCACTTAATCTCATTATAAATATGTTAATTTTCCTTTTCTGTATCTTTTTTCTATCTGTTTCCTGCTCTATTTGTCCAGTTTTCTCGGAAGTTTTATATAGCTCAGTGGTTCCGTGATACAACTATGGAGACAGAGAAAGCAATTAAATCTCAGAAGGATGAGGATTCATCTGAAGGATCTCATCATGCAAAAGATGTTGAGACCACAGGACAAATCATGCATAGAGCAGAAAGTCGCAAAAAGTTTCTTCGCAGCATCATTAAAACTGCTCCATCTCAGTTCAGTACATTAAAGTATGTTTCAGTACCACTGATTTCCTTATCAGCCATGCATTTGATGTTTTAAATTGTTTTTCGTAAACATGTCCTAATTGACACATGGAATGTGTTGCAGGATGAATTCTGATACTGTGGACTACGAAGATGCATGTTTGATTGTTCGCTACTTGGCCTCTATGAGGCCGTTTGCCCAGAGCTTCGATATTTATTTGACACAGGTAAACTGTGCTGGAAGTCTTAGAACAGTGAGACACACTTGGTTTCTGATTCCAGACACTTTTGTGGCAGTGAGACACATCTGTTCATTGTTGAGCACAGGTGTCTGACAGGCCATGGTAGCGCTATGGGCTTTCATATTCTGTATTGATGACATAAGTGATTACGTTTCTTTTTCTTGCATGTGTTTCGTGTGTCGTGTTGTACATACATTGCTTTGTTTGTCCCTGTGTGTATATGGCAAAGTCATTACAAGTAGATGTACACAATAAGAGCATAATTACAAAATGTCGAAATCATTTTCAGAGTTTCTGTTAAGATGTGTGCTCATTTGGTAATATTAACTCATGAAATTGAGCTTTATTTGGTTCGAAAATACAAGCCAGCTTGCTCAGTTGCCTGCAGTGCATCTGACTGTCCCTTTGGAAGCTGTTGTTTGACCAGGAGTGTCATTTCTTTGCTTTTTGTGGGAGCAGAGCACTAACATGGTGACACGTTTGAACTGCAGTGCTGGTGTAGATGGCCTTACTTACATGGATCTGCATGCAGAGTCCTTCTTGAAATTATAGTGCCCAAATGCAGCAACATTGCAGTGTTTACAAATGTTTCAAGCATGTAACCAATGTTACAATGTTTCAATCACGGTGAAGCCACAACCTAATCACCTAAGTGGAGTTTAAAATGAAGGGACTTAAAGTGAACATACAGAGCCTCTGGAAATCTTGTTTGAACCAGTCTTAGAGATGTAGCAAATCTAGTAAATATCCATACGCGAGTTATCAGTACCATGGAAAGGTGTGCTTTCGTGCACCTTTTTACTGTCTGAGAAGGTATATTCAATTTTCAGTGGGCAGATACTCTTATTTTAATTGTTTGCATGTTATTCTGCTGCATTTTTGCCTGTTAAACATTGTTTGCTACCTTCCCAAAGCAATTAAATCTTTTTTTTGTTGTTGTTCTCTTACTAGATTCTGCGTGTACTTGGTGAAAATGCAATTGCTGTTCGAACAAAAGCCATGAAGTGTTTGTCTGAGGTTGTTGCCGTAGACCCCAGTATTCTAGCCAGGGTAAAAAAGGAAATATCCATCATGCACATATGTTCTTCTGTCATGCTTAAAATAAATCTTCATTTCTTATTCTGAATCTGTGATTCATTTGGCTTTTCAGCTGGATATGCAACGTGGTGTTCATGGACGGCTAATGGATAACTCCACTAGTGTGCGAGAAGCAGCCGTGGAGCTGCTTGGCCGATTTGTGCTCTGTCGTCCTCAGCTTGCTGAGCAGTATTATGACATGCTGATTGAAAGAATATTGGTATGGTGAATTGCGATATTTTTGATAAAAAAAACGTAGCATTGGGAAATTTATTTTTAACTGAGTTCGTATGTTTAATAATATGTAATGATGATCCCAAGAGTAAATTATATTTTATTGTTTTAATGGAAGGCATCATTCTTTTAAGACCAACCTTGTAAAATGCATCACTTTTCTCTGGCAAGGCTTTGTTAGATCAAAAGGTAAACATATATAGAAAATAATATTGCATCAGAACCAGGATTATGTTCCTTTTGATGCCATTATTAAGACACAAATTTGGTGGAATGAGGAATTTTGCCCAATGTCTGAAGTCTGAGATATGGTTCATTGAGTGCAGTTGTAGGTGATGCAGAAAGACCCACAATACAGTGATCTAAAGATGCCATTTGTAATCCAAAAGAAAAAAAAAAAGATAAATTTTCTTTTCTTTTCCAGGCTGTTTTTAGTGTTTTAAAAGGCTTCTTACTATAGTTTTTATACAAAAAGTGTTTTTTGTCTGGGAGTTCAGATAAGATACAATGTTAGTTTAGCGGTAAGATATCACTAGGTGTTAGCACCCATGTCAAATACTACTCATTTCATGTAGTTACATGATAAAACATGTTTGTGAAGGGTTTCGGAGGTAAGTAGCTTGATGTCTATACAAGCATGCATGAAGCAGTTCATCCTGACATTTAGATTCAACAAGTTTTGAATAAGTGAAGTGAAGCTCCTCATCCATCTCCTTAGTAGGAAAATGGAAAAGATTGCTGCATGTATCTTGTCCATAACCTTTATCCAAAGGCTTGAAGTGTTACAGTCCAGATCTACAAAGAATCTTGTGCGTTCCAACAAAGTAGCTAAAACATCATCGAGTCTAGCTTGTGAACTCTTGAATTAAGAAGTGGAATTACACATTTACAACATCATGAACTCTTAGACGGGAGGGTATAAATGGAGGAAGCATTTCAGCATTCTGGAGACTCAGACAGAACCTGTAGAACTGTTGCGAATAAAGTGGTACAAGTTATGCTGAACTTTTGTATAAATGCACTCCAGAATATTTTAGCTATGTTTTCTAAATAAATTTTGCAAGTCAGATTGCAAATAATAATCTTCAAATATTAATTCATGTAACACATAAAGTAATTCATGTTTCTGATTTACTTTCAAAAGTGTAATGCTTTTCTCTTCACAGGATACTGGTATCAGTGTCAGAAAAAGAGTCATAAAGATACTTAGGGATATCTGCATTGAACAACCGACATTTCCCAAAATCACAGAGATGTGTGTGAAAATGATTCGGAGAGTCAATGATGAAGAAGGCATTAAGGTGACAAGAAACCTACCCTTCAGGGTTTTAATTATCTTTATTTTAGTGTTTCTATATTTTCACAAAAAAAAAAAACACCCAAAAAGTACTGCATGGCTCCTTTGTAATATTTATGACTTTTATTCACTTTCGATTTTTGAGATCAAATATCTTAGCTTTATAAAATGCTAACTTGTTTTTTCTCTTTTCTCTTTCCTTGAAGTTCTTGCTGACAATCAAAAACATTTTAAAAAGTTTTTTCTACATTTTTTTTTTTCTTTTTTCTTCTTTTTTCTAACAAGTAAAATTGGCATACAAAACTTCTTTCTGCAAATAAAATAAACTTTACGTCAAAATTAAGTAGCTGACATTGATATATGCCAGAATTTTAAGTTCTGCATATAAAAATTATAAATATTCATCTGTGCTAATCTTGCATTAATTCTGAATATTCAATAAATACGTTATTCCCCCTAAAATATTACTTCTGTGATCATATATTTCCCTTTGTGCAATGTGTGTGCAGAAAGGCACTAAACTAAGATGATATACTAAATCATAAACCTGGCAATGATGGTTTTGTTTGATTTGACAAAATAATTTTTAAGTTGTTGGGTAATTAAGAAGACACCTGTAATAATTTTGTATCCCAGTTTCAGTAGGATTTGAAATCTGCAACTTTAAAGCTGCAGTCTATATTAATGCCCAGTAGCTTTCTGAGAAGACTGTTAATCAAGAAGTAGATGAACAGCTGGATCCAAGGTGCTGCTTGGAAAGGAGGATGACCTTAATCTCTCTCCTCCATCCCCTTCACTTTCTAACAACATCAGAAAAAATGAGGCATTATTTTCAATGTACTTTTTTCCATGAATGATGAGAGCTTCTTACAACCACATGCCTTATAAGTAATTTGGGAATAATTTTGTTTGCTTTCATGCGATTCTGTTTTTCCCTTCATCCAAAAACTTTAGAAGGGAACATACTTCCTCTATTTGGGTAGAGAGACTTGGCTTCTCTCTCTTTCCCAAACTCCTAAAGTAACCTACCATTGCTGCTAGTTCTGTAGAAATCATAATGTTGTGTTGAGTTGTCAGCTTCCCAGAGTAATTCTCCCGAGGAATGTAAATTAACGCAGGAAGGTGGTAGCTCCATTTTCTATAGCATCAGTTCCCACTGATCATTTTGCTGAAGCTTGCTTAGAGGGCAGTGTAAGTCCTGTAACAGTAGATCTGGGTCTGTCTCAGATAACATTTCCTACAACAGTCTCACTTAGGTCGAATAATTCCTTATGTAATGGCACGCATCATCAATAGATCTATTGTATGGATGTGTTAGAAATAATACCTGTGTGCCAAGATAAGTTTATTTATTTATTCTAATATTTTTTTGCCATCAGAAATTAGTAAATGAGACATTCCAGAAGCTCTGGTTTACTCCAACTCCACACCATGACAAAGAAGCAATGACAAGGAAAATACTAAACATCACTGATGTGGTATGTTAAACAAATTTGAGTTAAGTTGCGTGCAAAATTTGATTTTGTTTTTAGTATCTTTGAAATATTGTCTGTAATTTTTTTGAATACAGTAATTTAATTGGCAGCTAGTTTTTCTTTTATATCTCCTGGCATTGAATATATGCCAAAATTATTCATCTGATGGAACAGGCTGTAGGAAACTTGAAATGCTCACTAATCTGCTGGCAGTGATAACTGGGACCACACTATATTCAGGTTGTGTAAAATACTTGTACAGTTAAAAGACAACAAATTTATATTGTATTTAACATTTTCAAGGAATTGCTGGTAGCAGCATATAGTTGAGCCTAACTAAGAAGTTGTCTCTTCAAAGAAAATTTTTCTCAAACAATTGATAACATTTATTTTAAAAGGTTAATAAGCTGTTTGAACAAACACAAGGTCACATTCTCACTCAGGGTGAACTAATATCTGCATAATTGCATCTGCTTTTTAGGAGCAGCAAATTAAATAATGTATCTCCAAAATACAAAATCTCTTTCAAGGAAATGCTTTAATTTATAGTGAAAATGTGTTGTGTAAAACCACTGTGCTGTGAAGGTGTTTTAATACCAGTTATGCCAAGATGTAAATATCAAAAATACTTGTTTCATTACTTACAATTAGGGGTTTAAACTTCATCCTGCTTTTCAGTACTTTTGCAAAATGTGTTTTTCCAGACTGAGAACTCAGTCAGTTTGACTTCAGCTTAACTCTCAGTTCTTCTGCCTATTCTACTTTGGAGAATGTGAGCTGTTCCTAACATACGATACCAGTGAAGGCTTGGTTTGTTTATGTAAAAGTGTGTATGTATATAGATATAGACATGCATGTTGATTTTTTAATAGAATCATAGAATCATAGAATGGTTAGGGTTGGAAGGGACCTCAAAGATCATCTAGTTCCAACCCCTCTGCCATGGCCAGGGACACCCTCCACTACACCAGGTTGCTCAAAGCCTCATCCAACCTGGCCTTGAACACCTCCAGGGATGGGGCATCCACAACTTCTCTGGGCAACCTGTTCCAGTACCTCACCACCCTCAATGTAAAGAATTTCTTTCTTATATCTAACCTAAATCTGCCCTCTTTCAGCTTAAATCCATTGCCCCTTGTCCTATCACTACATGCCCTTGTAAAAAGTCCCTCTCCAACTTTCCTGTAGGCCCCCTTTAGGTACTGGAAAGCTGCTATAAGGTCACCCCAGAGCCTTCTCTTCTCCAGGCTGAACAGCCCCAACACTCTCAGCCTGTCTTCATAGCAGAGGTGCTCCAGCCCTCGGATCATCTTTGTGGCCCTCCTCTGGACTCGTTCCAGTAGCTCCATGTCCTTCTTGTGTTGGGGACTCCAGAGCTGAACACAGTATTCCAGGTGGGGTCTCACGAGAGCTGAGCAGAGGGGCAGAATCACTTCCCTCGATCTGCTGGCCACGTTCGTTTTGATACAGCCCAGGATACGGTTGGGTTTCTGGGCTGCCAGTGCACATTGCCAGCTCATGTTGAGCTTCTCATG